GAAAACTTTTTTTTGGAAACGGCCGAAAATTCATGCGCGCGCGGATGTCATCCATATAATCAAATCAACATGGCCTTATGTCAAGAATATGCTGTATACTAGTTTGCTAACTTAGTATATAACTGTTATCTAATATCTTATTACCCCCTTATAGAGCTGTGTACCGGTACGCAGTACCGATACTGTACCGGAAAAATTGATTAGGTACAGGTCCAAAATACCTAATCCCTCAGTACCGGTACTGTACCTAAACAATTTCACACCAATTTTATGCCTATTTGTGACCTCAAATGTGTAAATAGCTGGTTAACAATGGGTCCCTGTGTAAGGACAGTGTGTTCATGAAAACAAAAACACCTATATTTTATCTGAGCATTCGCCATAAACAAAGAATAAACCTTAACTATCAAGTTTATTTATGTTTTTTTTGTTATTGAAGGAGTTCAGAAGAGCATATAAATTGGTCGAATTGTTCAGGTACAGGTTCAGGTCCGGACCTGTACCTAAACCTGTGTACCTGTACCTGTACCTGTACCTAAAATTTGTTTAGGTACACAGCTCTACCCCCTTATCTTGCGGGGCCCATATATATCACACTGCAGCAAAACACAACAAATGCGGAAGTAACTACGCCACCACAGGGCAAAAAAAGTCAAGGGTCTATGACCTGGTTAAGACATCAAATTATCTAAAAATATTGTATGCAGTAAGTACTTTGCATACATAAACATATGATAAATATTTCGGTGCACAGCTCCAATTTTTGGTGCACCAAGGTTCACATGCACTCAGTATTTTGAGCCCCAATTATACTATTTATACTATAGTCTACCGTTCCCATCCTGTCCCTGTAGTCCTTCATAGCGCCGTACGTACAAGTCGGCGCGCTGGTGTTGGTTCTCTCGCTGCCCGTGAACCTGATGCCGTACGCGCTCGTCTGGCTGTACGACAAGCTGCTACTCGTCTCCGAGCCCGCGCTTCTGCTCGTGGAGGCCGCGGAGGTCGTGAGGATGACCTTGAGATGCAGCGAACTGGCACTGCAACACATCGAGGAACGTCCAGTTTTCATTAAGGTGAAAGGATAACTCCTGCAAATTGATGAAATTATACAAAATTATCACTTATGTGTGTATATTTTAATGTGTGTATGTGTGTACATGTGTATGTGTATGTTTGTATCTTAACGTGTGTTTGTGTGTATGAATTGTGTGTGTGTGTGTGTGTGTATGTATGTACGTGTGTGTGTGTGACACTGTGTTTGAGTGTTTGTGTGAATGTGTGTGTGTGTGTGCCGTGTGAGTGTGTGTACTCTGTATGTTTGTGTGTGTGTTGGAGTGTGTGTGAGATAGAGAGAGTGTGTGTGTGTGTGTTTGTATGATTGTGTGTGTGTGTGAGATAGAGAGAGAGTGTGTGTGTGTGTGTGTGTGACACTGTGTTTGAGTGTGTGTGAGCTTGTGTATGCGTGTATGTTTGCTTGTGCATGTCTTGTGTAATATTATTTCTCCTCTCCCACAGACCCTGATCCTTGCTGTGAGTGCTGTCTCCTATGTCATCAGTGCTGTCCTAGCTGCTGTCCTGTACAGCCGAGACAGCTCCACATTAAACTGGTGAGGGGTCATTTTCCTGTATAGACACTGAAAGATACAGTAAAATAAGTGTATACAGCTCCTCTTCTATCAATATATACATAGCTCAGATTGTACTAGATTAATGTGGGTTTTATTGAATGATGTACCTTACACTGTACTCACTGGTTTAATCTGTTGGTGCCCATTATAAGTGTTTGTGTGTGTGTGTGTGTGACTGTGTGTGAGTGTGTGTGTGTGTGTGCATGTGTGTGTGTGTGTGTGTGTGTGTGTGTGTGTGAGTGTGTGTGTGTGTGTGTGTGTGTGTGTGTGTGTGTGAGTGCATGCGCGCGCACTGTCTGACTACCTTGTCTGATTACCTTGTGTGTAGGTTGTTACTGGTGATGCTGGTAGCTGCTGTTGGTCTGGCTGTTCTCACCTACATTGTGGATGAAGGTACTACAAGCCAGGTTTAGTTGTTGTTTTTTTATGGGTTCACCACACCACGAAGTGGTGTGGTGAAACCATATTGCTTTTTCTGATGTTTCTTCTTCTCCTCCTCCTCCTCCTGCCATATCTTTAAATGGATTCAGCTTCTTCATTTTAGGGCCTAAGGTCCTGAAATTTGGTATGGAGGTACAGTGGGCAAATACCCCTAGGCGTTTTTTAAATTATTGTGATACAGGCTTTTAGAATGGTTTTATTTGAGTTTTTTGGCTGTGTTATAGCAAATGTATTACTGTGTTAGTCTGCCTTGTTTACCACGTTTGGGCATGAGTCATCAGAATGGAATGCAGGGCATCAACCAATAGGCATGCAGCTTTCCTCTATACTTCTTGCTGATTGGCTGTTGGGATTTAACTTGATTAACACCTGCACAGAAGCATTTCCATACTGACAGTATGTCTGTATTCAAGTGTTTTGGTAGGTATTTCAAGCTTTCCTGCTCCAGCATTGGAATGCCGGGCATGGACGTTTTTTTTTTTATTTTGAAAATCAACAGTTTGCATTATGCAATTAAAAATCCTAACCAATAAAGTAGGGAATAGCTATCCAACTGTTGTTTTAGTTGTATTTTACTTCATATTATAGTTATATCAATGTAAATCATTGTTTTCCCTTGTGTTTCCCATTCTTTCCCTGCCATGTCGTAAAATGTGGTGAACCCATCGCTGTATTTGCTCCAAAGCAAATATTGGCCTTTCTAGTTGCTTTGTGTATTTTATTTATCATTAAATAGGAAATAGGAAACAAAGAATAAGACAAAAAATAAGACAAAGTGATTTGATATACCTGAAGATTACAGGTAACAAAGAAGGTTTGTAACTTTCACTCTCCCCAGGTGTTCATGAGTGAAAGTGAACTTTCCCTTTCCCCAGGTGTGATCTCCAACGCAGCTGTGGTGACCATGGCAGGCTTCGTCATGCTGTGGCTCATGGATCAGGAGCTCGCCCTAGCAGCTAACCCCAGAACTGCACCTGATGAGTGGGCAGGGTAAGGTAGACCCGTGTTATACATATATCATCATATAAACATCCCAATATTAAATCAACTAGCAGTTAGGAAAGGTACAAAATGTATGTTAGAACCATGTTTTTCTTGATAATTCAATATGTTGTTCATCTAGTGATTAGGCCACACCAATTTAATTTGTTGCTTCTCGGATCGCCCTGTCCATTTTTTTCTGATTTGCAAAAAAAAAAATTCGGGGGGTTCTAAATTAACTGCAAAATGCTCAATGAAAGACATATTTTGGCCCCAACGGTTGAAGAAAGTCCTTTTGTTCCTAGTTCTTAAAGTTTTTTTAATGTAAGCAGGCAATTTTGTTTCATTGAAAGTTAAAAATCTATTGTTTTAATTACAAACCAGCCTGGTATGTTCACTTCATGGCTCATATTGTTACATTTTCGGCTATCATGGAGTGCCTTGGCCTGTTTTTATTTTTATTTCGCCCTGTCGCTTCATATTTTTTCTAAAAAAATCTGAGAAACAACAAATTAAATTGGTATGGCCTTACCTGTAAAGTCATGATTACTAGTAGTGTTTGATAGTTTTGTATATTATAGTCACTGTTGTTGTTTAGTGCCTCTGCACAAGAATCTCTCAATACCTTCCTGAACCTTTCCACCGACATTGCATTTTACTAGTCAGTTTCCTCCAGTCAGCACTGCCATCTAGCAGAATGGCAAAGAACTGCAGGAATCTGATGTAAAGCCTTTATATCATGCTATAAATGTTGGACGGCGTTATAATCAAAATTTCGTATCCCAGGGCCCAACCTAAAAAACTAGGTGCCCAAAAATTTTTTGGGGTGCATCATATAAAACAAAACCTAATTACAGATCTTACTGTAGCTTGAGCTTGAATCTGAAATGTGCTTCAACAAACATTTTATTATTTTCTGACACTTAGACGCCAACAATATCCTGCATATTATTTGCCATTGATATGTACAAAAATACCTACAAAAATATTTGGGTGCACCAGTGCACCCACAGAAAAAAATTAGGTGCACAGCTCCAAATTTGGGTGCACTAAGGTGCACATACACCCAGTATTTCCAGCCCTGGTTTTGTTGATTTCGTCTGCCAAGGTCAATGAATTGGTTTAAAAATTTTTCTGTCACACACTGCAAATTTCTTGCAATTGACAGAAAAACAGGTGCTGACTAGAGCCCTGGTGTACACAAACCAAGTAACTGCATTTCCCAGGCCCTCTGTTCCACAAAAACCTGACAGTTATTGAGTCTTAAAACCCGGAGGATCACCCAAAGCAGATTATCTGCCATTAAAAATGCAAACCTTCATAACCACATCTAAGTACATGTCAGGGGAGAGCCGTACAGCCTTCCAGTCTACTCAGCAGTGATTTTTAATTACATTCCAACAATCCTCTTGCCAGGTTTGGCAGATTATTCAAATTCTCACGACTTTAAAGCTACCACCGGTAGCTACATGTTTCCAGACCTATAATAATATGTTCATGGTGGCGGCAGGAACAGAAGAGTCCATGAATTATTTGTTCGTGGATATGATAAATTCGCAGTACAGAAGTGACGGCAAAATCTGCAAATATAAAAGTACCGTGCGTATTAAGTGATTTACAGTATATATCTGTCAGTTATGGTGCATTGTTACATAAGAGTTTGGTATGCAGAACTCACATACCTGTCATGTGTGCGTTGGTCCTTACGTAAAGTGACTCAGGACAGGGATCAAAATTCATTGTTGGGAATACCGGTAGGTGCACCCTGCACCAACCTAAGATATTTTGGTGCACCATTATGACCTAAAATAAGTGGAATGTCAGCAAAAACTACAATATGTTTCATTCCTAAAGAAAAGTACTACAACAACAATTTTATTATTTTTCTCGGACACTTAGATTTTAAGAATATGCTGTATACTACTACACATTTAATATCTTTACATATCGTAAACCTAGGAAAATATTTGGGTGCACTAAGGTGCACATATACCCAGTATTTTGAGCCCTGATATTGTATGTAGGGTGCAATTCAGGCTAATAAGGCCTGTGAGTCCCTTTCCCAATAAAACTTGAGCATGCACCCAGCATTTCAAGCCCTGGTCTGGTATACAGGGCTGGAAAAACTGGGTGCATGTGCACCTTAGTGCACCCAAATTTGGAGCTGTGCACCCAAACATTTTTGTAGGTTTATGTATGTTAAGATGTTAAATGTATACAAGAGTAACTGTAATAAGACAGCATATTGTTGATGTCTAAGTGTCAGAAAAACAGGAAAATCCTTGTATCGGTGTCGTATAAGCCCACACGGGCTGGGCGCGGGATAGCGCACGACACGGAAATAAAGTATCATTCATTCATTCATTCATTCATTCATTCATTCATTCGTTCATTCATTCATTCATTCATTCATTCATTCATTCATTCATTCATTCATTCATTCATTCATTCATTCATTCATTCATTCATTCATTCATTCATTCATTCATTCATTCATTCATTCATTCATTCATTCATTCCTTGTTGTAACTTGTAAGTATTTTTCTCAATAAATGGAACATGATTAGTTTTTGCTTGAATTCTAAATGGTGCACCCAAACAATTTTTTGTGCACCCAGTTTTTTAAGTTGGGTGCACCAGTACACCTACTCCCAGAAATAAATTTCGAGCCCTGGTATACTAAACTCTTGAATCATGTACCTGTCATGTATGCTGTGGTTCTTATGTAACATAACTCAGTGGGATGTGACGATTGGAGGTGGCTTAGGCTGACTTTGCACGTAATGCAGGAAATGTCAAAGGTTTGAAACCTGCCCCGAAACCCTGAGTATTTAATGGGAGGTTATCAGGGCCTGAATGGCTGGTTAAGCAGCTATCCATGGTGCTGAGAGCCTGGTGGTTAATAAGAAGCTATCTCTGGTATGGCTAGCCTCCATAGCATGCCAAA